TGCCATTTGGGTCGGTGCTCTGATGGAAATAGGATAATGTGGAACAAAGTCCCTGAATATAAAGGTGGGGTGGATGGGTTTTTCTAGACAGAGTTCTTAAAGAAGGCTTCTCTGAACAGATGACCTTTAGCTGAGGAGTGGTAGATGAGATAGAGATAGGAGGTCAGCGGAGCTGGGATGTGATGAGGGTTTATCACTCTAGAGAAGTGGGATCAGCGGACAAGACCCTCTTAATGAGCAGCCTTCCAGGCTGCAGTGATGAATTAGGTTAGTTGCTGGTGAACAGGAAGACTTTGAATGCAAAGTGTGAAGACAATGGGTTTTGTATGTATTAAATATGGCGGCTTAGGCTGGTGAGGTTGCAGCCGACGATCGGGAACAGGAAGGATGCTGACAGGGAATCTTGGATCAATCCAAGGTGTCCTTTCCCATTAGAGACTTGGAGGCTGAACTGGCTCATCTCTCAGGGCTCTTCTAGCTCCAGGATGTGGAACACTTTAGTTTACACCAACTCTTGGGGCATCGAAATGAGGAAGTGCAAACAAGCTGTTGTGAAGATTGATTTCACAGAACAACGACTTGGATCCCTATCTCCTGGGCCTCTTGCCCCTGGGATGGTTTTGGTCCTTTCTCCACCTCTTATCTGCCCCACAGAGATGTTAGCCAAGCTCAGCCAGGAGGCGGATGGTCAGCTTTGGACTTTATACTTCTCTGAGGCTGGGGAGTCCAACTGAGCAGAACGTGAATATAGAAGGGGATACCTAGCTTCGTATGGTCTGAGGGGAAGGGTAGAAGACCTTCTGATCTGAATCAAAGCTCTCTCTCCCTCTGCCCATGGCCTGCTCTGCTGGCCCTGTGTTCATTTCTAGCAGGCTCCTAGGTCTGTTTATTTGGACGCATCTGTAGCACTCCCTCCACCAACTGCACCAACTGACAAGGAGATGGGCCTGAGGCTGGGCTGCTCATCAATACTGCATAATATTTGCTACACATTTAGCAACTTCAGACACAGACGTTAATTAGCTCATAGATCTGTAGGTCGGAGATGTGGGCATGGCATAGCTGGGATTTCTGTTCAGGGTTTCAAGGCTGAAACCAAGATGCTGCTGGACTGTGCTCTCATCTAGACTTCACAGTCCTTTTCTGAGTGCATGAGGTTGTGGTTGAATTCTGTTTCTTGTAGGTTGTAGGACTCAGGTCCCTGATTCCTTGTTGGCTCTAAGAAGGGAGGGATTCTTTCCAATTCTTGGGGTAGCCTGCCTTCCTTGCTGTGTGGTCTCCTCCACTCTCAAAGTCAACAATAGAAGCTGTCACTTGGGTTGAATCTTCTCATGCTTGGAATCTGTTACCACAGAAAGACCCCAGTTCCTTTTAATGGTTCACATGATTAGGTCAGACTCACCCGAGATGTTCTTTCTCTCTCTGTCTTTTTCTGTCTTTCCTTTTTTCTCTCCCTCTTTCCTCTGTCTCCTCTTTCCCCTCCCATTTATTTATATCCTCTCATTTCCTCTTTTCTTTCTCTCCTCCCTTCCTTTTTTTCTCTTTCTCTTTCTTTCTTTCTTTCTTTCTTTCTTTCTTTTTCTTTTTCTTTAACTTACATTTTAAGATCAGTTACACCATGTCATGGCTTGAAGAGTATAGCAACATGTTTCCTTCCTTCCTTCCTTCCTTCCTTCCTTCCTTCCTCCTTCCTTTCTTTCTTTCTTTCTTTTGTGCTGGGGATTGAACCCCAGGCCTCATACATGCTAGGCAAGTGCTACCACTGACCCATACCTCCAGTTTTCTCTCCATCTTAAATAGAAAATACAACAGAACCACAGAAAGAAAACCTGCATCAATAGTCCCAGGGATCATACAGTGTGTGCACACTTGGAACTAGGGATGGTGAGAATTTTAGAAAACATCTTAGGATTCAACCTATCAAAAGAGTCTGGGAAGTCATTCCTGATTCTTGAGAACAAATCACTCAATAAAGTCAGTTGATGTTTAGACTCTTGAGAGGTCATAAAGGTATGGGAGGTTTGGATTATGGCCCTAGGAACATCACACATACATGTTCCTGGGCTTCATGGCCCCTTTGGTATTAGTCACAGTTTCCAGGTTAAGAGACCCTGGTGCTGGGTTTAGGGAGACTTGTAGATGGCACCGAGTGCTGAACAGTGTGAGCTCGTATCTGCAACTCCCGAGTTTCCTACCTTCATGTTGCCATGTGTCAGACTGGTGGGTGGGGAAGGAGATAGACCATAGTTCCTTTCTATTGACCATGTTGCCGAGGTGACCGCTGCTCAGTGCTTGATACACCCATGTACACCTTGGGCATCAGCCCACATTGCAGTGGGCAGAGTCCTCTGTGCTAGGTCTGCTTCTGGACAGATGACACCAGGGGTGACAGCAAGCTTCCCCATAAGCCTGAAGTTAGAATGAGCTCCTGAGGACATTAGGAGACTAAATGCAGGGGTGGTCTTTACGGGTCTTTCATGGGACTGAGTCCACTTAGGGACATAGAAGTTCTACCTAACCTCTAAGTTCTTTAGTAACTTCTAGGCCTGCCATGAGCATTCCTAGGGTTCAGGATCCAGAGAGGTTGATCTGCCACTTCTTGGGGAAGGACCAGGACCGGGGCTGGAGGTGAGGTGACATGCTTCAAGCTCCTTTGCTGGACGACACTGGACTCCAAGCCCTCCTGTTCTTTATTTGTATGCAAAACCCACTGAACTCAGGATTCAGAAAGAGAATGCTCTGGTCAAAGGGTTTGGAAAAATACCCGCTTTGAGTATCAGTCAGTCTGAGTTGTGCCATTGGCACTTGACAATGTAGACATTGGGTTTCTTCCCTACATTCTTTCTTGTGTGTTCGTGTGTGTATGTTTGTATGTGTGTGTGTGTGCGTGCGTGCGTGCGTGCGTATGTGTGTGTGTGTGTGTGTGTGTGTGTGTGTGTGTAGGTCAGAGGACAACCATCTAGCTCACTGTATTTATTTTTGAAAAGGATTATGGCTGTGAAGATAGCCCTGTGGGTAGAGTGCTTGCTGCACAAGCATGAGAATCTGAGTTTGGATGGCCAGCACCCATGTAAAAAAGTCAGCTTATTTCTGTAACCCTAGTGCTGCAAGGTAGAGGGGAGTGTGGAGACAGGAAGATCCCCAGAGCTCACTGGACAGCCAGTCTAATCTACCAATGAACACCAGATTGAGTGAGAGACCCTGACTCAAAAAATAAGATAGAGCCAGGTGTGGTGTCACAGGTCTCTAATCCCAGCATTCAAGAGGCAGAGGCAGGCAGATCTCTGTGAGATCAAGACCAGCCTTGTCTATCTAGTGAGTTCTAAGTCAGATGGGATTATAGGGAGACCCTGTCTCAAAATAACCAAACAACAAAAAAAAGTGGAGAGTGGTAAAGGAAGACACCCAACATTGACCTCTGGCTTTCACATGCACACATACACATGTGCACACACGTGAACCACACACACAGATTAAGTGAGATAATATTTGCCACCCACAGTATTGAAATATATGTAGTAAACATGATCATGAAGGTAGCTGGTTGGCTAGCCAAGTGCTCCAGTTCTGAGGATAAGTGGTCAGGTGCATGTGAGCACTCCCTTCACACGGGGAAGCTCAGCTGAATGATTCCAAGACCCATCTTCCATTCTTATTACCTGGACACCTTAAATGCAGACATCTGCGTTCTAGACCTATTAGTCTAGAATTTCCCAGAGAAGGGATTATGTATTTTTAAAAATCTTTAATAAAGCCTTTCCCCAAATTGTAGGTTTTTCACACAATGATTGTAACCATTGGAGAAATGCAGAATTATAAAAAGAATGAAAACCGCTATCTCCCTCCTCACTTTCTTCCCTCTCCTTCTCACATGCCCTAGGAACATCACACATATATTTTCTATCTCTGTGGAAGCCTCCAAGGTCAACAGGCTGCTGTGACTCTTCTCTCATCTTCTATATGTCTGCATATCTCAGTACTCAACAGGAGGAGACCACACGTTTGAGGCCAGCCTGGGCTATACAGTGAGTATCAGGCCAGCCAAGACTGCCTGGCCAGACTCTATCTCAAAAACAAAACAAAACAGCAAACATACACACAAAACCAAGGCAATGAACAAACAGAAGAAAAACAAAAACTCTTACCCACTTTCCTGCCTGTCTACTTTATTCATATCCTAACATGACACACCAGCTCCTCAGGATGCAGGTATAGGTGCAACTCCTCTTTTAAGCTACTCATGGGGCTGGAGAGATGGTTTAGTGCTTAAGAGCACTGGCCACTCTTGCAGAGGGCCTGCGTTCAATTCTTAGCACACACACAGTGGCTAACAACCATCTGTAACTTCAGTTCCAGGGGATTCGACGTCCTCTGTGGGCATTGCATGACATGGGTGCACTTACATTCATGCAGGCAGTACACTCATGCATGAAAAATAAAAATTAAAAAAGCTACTTGCCATTCTGCAGAATAGATACAACATATTTTAAACACTATCCCATAGGTAGATATCCAGATTATTTTCAATAAAACAAACAGCTAAGCAATACATAGCTTTGTAAAAATTTTCTTACTTATAGATGCTTTTTTTGTCTAGAAGGATAGTCTACAAAGAGTGAAATTGATAAAATATGCATTTTTAACTCTAACAGTGAAAGATCTGTTTCCCAAATGTATTTGACAAGTCGCAGCCCCCATAGTAAAACCAGAACGCCATGAATCTGGGGGAAGCTCCTGAGGAAGGTAACAAGTTCTCCCCAGAGAACTCTCAGCTCAAACAAGGGGCTCAATTGCCCCCCCCCTTTCTGCTTGAGGGGGACATAGGGAGACGTAGGTGACAGCTAAGGAGTGGGCTCCCCAGAGAAGTGAAGAAATGGCTGTTATCAGCCCTCCTTCTCCCTAGGGCTGAGGCAACCCCCTCCTTCATTAGAGGACTTCCTCCAAGATCTCTGTACAAATATCACTTCTAGGTGGGGAGAGAGAGGATCCAGCTTTGGACACTCGTGAAGATCTTGGAAGGCTTCTAGGTGAGTGTTTTCTCTTTTGGGTACAGCTGACTCTGGGGCTGTCCAGCTTCCTGGGAGGCACTGGACCCAGGCTAAGTGTTCTAGAAGGCCATCAGGGCTGCATGTGACTTTGAGGTTCTGCTGGTGCAATGACCATCTCTCCTGAGCTAAAGGCAAGCTCTCTTTGTCTTGGGAGGGCACAGGGTAAGGAAAGAAGAGGCATATATAATATCTGAGGTTTGAGAAGAGTTCACATTTTCTAAGTGCTGTGTGTTCCTAGGAAGGTCAACAATTGTTGCTTCTCCATTCTCTCATATTGCAGACTCTGATGAACTCATTAAGAATAAATAAATTAACTAATATTTTATTTTATTTCTAGGCTAGCAAGAAAGCCAGCCAGAACTGTCTCTGACTTCATTCTATTCAGAAAAAGTTTTCCAGAGCTGGGGATGTAGCTCAATTGATAGAATGCTTGCCTAGCATATACTAAGCCCTGGGTTCAATGCCCATCACACCATAAATCAGGTAGTGGTAGTTCATGCCTATAATTTCAGCACTTGGAGGTAGAGAGAATGATCAGGAATTCAAGGTCATCCTCAGCTGCATATTGAGCTCAAGGCTAGCCTAACCTGGTCACAAATGAAACAAAACAAACCAAGAGTTCCCTGGAGCAGCAGGGGCTGAACTTAGCCTTTTCCGGCCACCCTGACTTCTTTTCCTCTACCTCCTTTCTAAAGGTCCCAAATGATCTGGCTGTGGGGTGTGTGCGTGTGTATGTGTGTGTGTGTGTGTGTGTGGGTGTGTGTGTGTGTGTGT